CCCAGTAACTTTGTTTTCCTCATAGAAGCTTCAGGTACCTCACAGGTTTTGTAAGTGATAAATCTCGAACATCCTTAGTATACCATACCTGTGCCCAAGTGCAAGTTAGGCAGGTGGAGGGAAGACATAGCTAACAAAATAAGTACAAGTTCCTCGGGTTTCTTAGGACAGACACTTGATGGGTTAGTTCAAAAAGTTACATAGGGGCTGGGCACGGTGGCTTATGCCTGTAATCCCAGCAATTTGGGAGGCTGAGGTGGGTGGATCACAATGTCAGGAGTTCAGGACCAGCCTTGCCAACATGGTGAAACACCGTCTGTACTAAAAATACAAAAAATTAACCGGACGTGGTGGCAGGCGCCTGTAATCCCAGCTACTCGGGAGGCTGAAGCAGGAGAATCACTTGAACGCGGGAGGCAGAGGTTGCAGTGAGCTGAGATCGCGCCACTGCACTCCAGCCTGGGCGGCAGGGCGAGACTCTGTCTCAAAACAATATATATGTATTACGGAGGGCCAGGCACGAGATAGCTCACGGCTGTAAGCCCAGCACTTGGAGAGAGCTCAGCCCTGTGCAACATAGGGAGCCTCCATCTCTACAAAAATTAGCCAGGCTTGGTGGCGCACATATGTGGTCCCAACCACTCACAAGGCTGAGGCAGGAGGATCGCTTGAGCCCAGGAGGCTGAGGCTACAGAGAGCCAAGACCACTGCACTCCAGCCTGGAAAACAAAGCAACCCTGTCACAAAAAAGTCACACAGGTTAAAAAGTAAAATGGTAATCAACTGAGCATTTAATGGTTTCCACACTTTTTTTTTTTTTTTTTTTTAGCATGTCCCCTTTTTCAAACAATCTAGTGAAGAGTCTCAGTATAGAAGCCAGGCAGGAAGCAGCTGGTGTTCGGAACTCCACCCCTCCCTCCACGGGACAGCCCGGAAACGCCCCGGTCGCGCCGCACTGGGAGTGAAGCTCACCTCCTGCTTTTCCTCAAACCAGTCCCTTGTTATGCCTGTGAGAAAACCATGCTGCAAAGGACACCACAGACCTGCCTCAAGAGCTTGTGCATTTCAGTCCTGTGAATGATAGGAAACATTGTCATGAGTTTGCTGGTCTCTTCAGTCCCTCCGGGATCAAGCAGGCACTTGGGTAAGTACCTTGGTCCCGTGGAAATTCCTCACGGTAAGTGAAGGTGAGCTGAGAGATGGGCGAGTCGGGAGTTCACCCCACACCTTCAGATTCCCGGCCTTTACCTGCTCCCCTTCCACTGGCTAAGTGTACCGTGTTGACTGGTGTGAAAGAAAAGGCAATTCAAGACCTGTGTTTAGGTCCAAATGTCCCTTATGTGTAGGTTGACTCCTTTTCTCTTGATAAGACATGGAAAGGGAGACATTCTCTGAGGAATTCCTTTTTCAGGACAACTTAATAAGTCGCTTAGAGGCAGAGTCCCAGGCTTCTGGAACCCCCTGGTGTTCAGTCCCTACATGTGGGCAGCATGGTTAGAGCCCAGGAGGAAGGTCACATTCCTCCCAGTTCTCAAGCCCTCTTCTCAAAATACTTGCGTGTGCACAATTGGCTTTTTGTTACTAGCTGTAATTGTGAAAATTGTGGCCAAGCACATTGGCTCACGCCTGTAATCCCAACACTTTGGGAGGCCGGGCAGGTGGATCACTTGAGGTCAGGAGTTCGAGACCAGCCTGGCCAACGTGGTGAAACCCCGTCTCTACTACAAATACAAAAATTAGCCAGTTGTGGTAGCGCACGCCTGTAGTCCCAGCCACTTGGGAGGCTGAGGCAGGGGGATCGCTTGAACCTCAGAGGCAGAGGTTGCAGTGAGCTGAGATCGTGCCACTGCACTCCAGCCTGGGCGACAGAGCAAGACTCCGTCTCAAAAAAAGAAAAATGGTTTACAAAGAACCACCAAGCGCAGTATCACTGAACTAATCTAGCCCCAGAGTGTTCACATTGTCACTCTTACTTTTACCCTTTTTTGAAGTATAGGGGAGCCTCTCTGTAGAACACCAAAAACCTGGGGCTGTTATTTGCTGCCAAATCCTAGTGGGGGTCTACACAGCGTGGTTGTTACCCACTGAGACCAAGGCTGATTATCTTGGAATCATGGCCAAAGAGGTTGGAAACAATATCACAGCAACAAAGGTTTAATCTACTGACAACTTTAACTCATTTTATAAGATCAATATTTTACCCCCTGGGTTGTAGAAACATTCGTTGTGGTTTAATCAGAGCTGGGCTGTGTACTAAGACCAGATGCACAGGCTAAGTATGTACTGCTGCGGCCTGAGGGAACCAGAGAGGACCTTGATCTCAGCGCCTGCCTGGAAGGGTAAGTCTCCTGGTTGGGCTCTGTTAAGCGTGGGGGTATAGACTCAGACTGCTGGCCAGGCACGCCCCAACTCGGGAATCTGAAGATTGGCCCCAGCTAGTGGGTAAGAAACAGTGATCATAGGACCAACAGGTGCTGTAATGTAACGTGTCTTTACTGACAGCATTTTAAGATGCTGCTCCTTGATGAATATTGGTACCTAATTTTCCTTTGAAATTTAGAATTACCAGCCCAGCTGGAAAACATGCTTGCTGGCCTTCAGCTATGTGAATTGAATCCCCCTTCTAATGAAGACAACTTCTTGTTTGTAGGAATCAGTCACTTGGCTGCCCAGGTTCATTTTTTATACCCTCATCGCTCATCTGTCCAGTTCATGACCCTGTCCAGGGCCCAGCCCCAACAATGCCCTTGCCGTAACAGGTGAGTGTGGACCACTTCTAATACCAGGTATCCCTGTGTAGCCCTCACTGGAATTGTTTATATCAAGGGACTGAGCAGAGAGGCAATATTTCAACTAGTTCCATTAAGAATTATTTAACAGAATATGGTTTTCAAAATGTTTACACTTGGATCCAGTCTTGATGAGCTATCTACAAGCTTAAATGTGTGGGTTGACATTTGATTTGACTTTGGTAGAGTTGAACACCTTGGGCAGAAGCGGAAGTGAGGACGCGGCATGGAGACAGTGAAGACTGGAGATGGGATGAACCAGACATTAATGAAAACCTGGCACAGCTTCTGGGTGCCTCTAACCAACAGAAGTTAGTCTGTGGGTGAGGTGCTGCCTATTGTATATGTCAAGCCTTGTATTAAGTAGCTGATGAGCTTTAAAAAAAAAAAAAAAGCCATGCTGGGCAGAGCAGCTCACACCTGTAATCCCAGCACTTTGGGAGGCCGAGGTGGGTGGATCACTAGGGGGAGTTCAAGACCAGCCTGGCCAACATGGCGAAACCCCACCTCTACTAAAAACACAAAAATTAAACGGGTGGGGTGGCCTGTGCCTATAATCCCAGGTATTCAGGAGGCTGAGGCAGGAGAATCGCTTGAACCTGGGAGGCAGACGTTGCAGTGAGCCAAGACTGCACCACTGTGCTCCAGGCTGAGTAGTAACAGAGCAAAATACCCTGTCTTTAAAAAAAAAAAAAAAAAAATCACAAAAAACCTCAATGTTTTAAGGCAGTTTACGAATTTGTGTTGGGCTGTATGCAACCGGCCGTCCACAGGCCAGACAAGCTTGATAGGTTATATCAAATGGGTTATTATGTCAAGCATTTCTGTTCAGAAATCTGTGTTCATGGAAGTCACTGAAGAGGCATTTACAGAAGCACATTTCAAATCATGGTACAAAAAGCTTGCTGTGCATTGAGAATACATCAGACAGGGCTCAAAAACCACTGCTTTCCATCATGCCCCTTTGTCTTTCCTATGCCTTTGGGGCTCTGGTACATTGTGCTCACCGGAGGCCTCAAGGATCCATTTCCCAGCTGTTCCTCTGAGGATGGGTTGAGGGCTGTGGCTGGAATGAGCCATGTCAACAGGTACTTTTGGGCCCAAGTAATCTTTGGGGTCTCATGAACAGGCCTACATGCAATGATGAGCAGATGGGCTCCATTTCGCCTGTGCCTAAGCAAGGCCATTGAGCCATCTAGAGAATGACCTAACCCAAATAATGAAGTAACTGCCTCAGGGTCCTGCTGAGTGCCAAGAGTGGAACATGAGGGCATCGAGGGCAACAAGCTCTTAAGTGGATGGTACCATTTTCTGGGTGGGAGTGGAGATAGTTATTTAGACATAAAATAGATCAGCACTGTCATTAAGAAACCATGGGACGAGGCTGAGGGAGGGTCTCCTCAATCCCAAATCAAGTGGCAAATTAACTTTAGGACTCAAGTTGCTGCGCCTGTGCACTGATGTGATGGAGACCTGATCTCGCAAATGTTGTGGAACTGGAAAGCAAGATGAGTCGATTTAATTAGGTTTCACATTAATACTATCACATTGTAAATAAAATCTAACTGTAGAAAAGGCAACTGCCAAGTAACTGAGTGTGGTCTGGTTTGCAGCGGTGTTGAGGGTTCCCATGATGCTGCTGGTGAATGTACCGGGGGAGGGTGCAGAGAAATTCCCCCAAATTCTGAGACCGACCACATGGTAAGGCATGCAAGGCACATGTTGTTTCCTTGACGCTTAGAGTTTGTGATTTTTACCTCTTCTTTGAGAAGATATAAAATTAGTTTGGTTATACCTGTCAGTAGGTAGGTAAGGAATCCCAACTTATATTGTATTTCTAAAGAACTCTATCTAGACTAACAGCATTTAGAACTAGGTGAGTTCTTAAAAATAACCTAAGTCTACTCTGTCAGTTTATACATGGGGAACAGACTTGGAGGTTAAATCACTTTCTCCAGTTTGCACAGCTGACTGGAACGTACCCACCCACCCTGGTCTTGTCTATAAAATCAAGCCCTTTACTGGGTCAGCCCTCAGGATGCACAGCAGTTCTTCATATATGAATGTCTTCCACATATTACCAGGCAGTATTAGTTAAAATCAAGATTCATACAAAGACAACTAAAAAACCCAAGGAGGTAAATTTAAAAGTTTTTTGTTGGGCAGTACTAAAAGCAGTTATTGACATGTTATGAGAGATGACTCAACAAGGACAAGTTCAAGTATTCTTTATTCAAAGTTGAAAAATGTACCATACTGCATTATTGCAAAAATTCACTGGTACAAAACACTTTGCAGCTGGTGAGAAGGCAATAAAAAGTTGATTTTTAAACTCATTACTATAAATTATTCTTACAGTACTTTGCAAATTCAGAATTTCAAACTGCATTTTCTTTTTCTAAATTGCCCACAGTACTCGAGGTTCCTGAAGCTAAGGCAGCTGTTTCAGAGAGGAGGGGGAGGAGGTAGCAGATGTCAAGGGATTTCCATTTCTCTTTCGATGCCGACATACTTCAGGGCATCAGCCTGGCTGTATCTGAAACAACAGGAAGAAGCAGATGTCCGCTGGATGACCACCCATCCAACATGTGCTGAGACTTACTTAACACAACAAAGCCTGCTGAAGACAGTGGGTGCATTAAAATGTCTTAAAACAAAAAAACAAAAAAACAAACAAAAAAAAACCATCCAATTATACAGCTGCCTGCATAAGGGCACACTCATAGAAGGCAATGCGTAGGTCTGCGTTGCTGGCCATCTAATTGAGACGCTGCCAAGTTCTGAACTGAACAAACCTGTCTACAAGCATTTCCAGGGCTTGCCCAGCCTCTCCTATGCCTCTGAAGCAAGTGGCCCCAGGAAGGCTGGTCCACATCATGATGTTTAGGCCCGACGGTGGAAAGGCAAAATAGAACCATGGTCTGGAAAAAAACGATGACCATGGCAAAGAGGGCCAAAGAGCAGCCCGCAAGTTCCCCCAGGTGAAGAAAGAACTGGAGTACAGTGGACACCCAGAAATAGTGGGTGGGGCCACCAGGCCCTCCCAAGGAAACTGGATGGCTTTGCCTCCAACCCCAGCTCCACCCCACACTCTTCATTCAGAGCCGGCCTGGAATGAAGGCAGCGGCCCCTCAGTAAAGTAGGCCTTTCACTCAGACCCTGTCTGCCTCACTGAGAGCTCTCCGCTATGCAACAGCCATTAAAGGCCAGCCTGAATATGCAAGAACTCAGTACTCAAAGACAGCTTCTGGATGGGATGTACATGGGACCACAGGAGTTCATTAACTAGACAGTCATCTGACTGCACCTAAATCTGTATTCAATGGATGACTTAAATGTATCCCACAGAGCTTGACTGTGTCAATTGGCAGCCTAATGCCTAACCACACAGATACCATCGGTGGCCCACATGTCCCAGGCATCCCCACAGGGTGACCAGACAGTGATTTGCCAACAGCACCTTTTAAAATGGTAATGATACGTGTAATAAGTATTATAGCAAACAATAAATTAAGTAGATCTAATCAGTAAAGATATACATAGTATATTGTCAAGTAAAACCATGTTGCAGAAAAATCTATAGGACAGTGTGATCACACTTATCTGGAAAAACGCTCCACAAGCAAGCATGCAGCATGCGGCATGATATGAGAAGGTCTAGGACTCACCCAGCTGTCAACAGCAGGGTGAGAAACGGGGCTTTCTGCATGGATTTGATTCTATTTTTAAAATAAGCATGACTTGTATAATAAATAAATGGATCATGAATACATAACAGGAAAGTATAACCTAATTCCCCACTAATGCTCAAGGCAAAGTGACCCGTCAAAAGAACTCACCCCCACCCCTCAGCACATCTAGCAAAGAACTAAAAAAATCCTTCGCCCAGCGTTCACAATCCAGTAGAAAAAGCCCTTAGAGATCATGTTAGAAATGTACTTTACCAACCTGTAATCAAAAAACAGCTCTTCACCAGTCTGGATGGCTCTCTTGGCAAAAATACCTATCCTGTGATCGCCGTTAACCATCATAACTGGAAAGAGACACACTGGTGTCAGTGAGCATGAAGACAGGCCATGGGAGGTTAACTGACTTGTTCACATAACAAACAACTATCCCAGAAGTATTCAAGTCCATCATCACAGGATTAAAAAGGGAGTTCCAATTCTGACGTCAAAGATACCTACCTTTTGCATAGCAGTTTGGATTTACCGAATGATTTGCAAAACGAATTTTGTTACCCTTGCGGGTTGCATCCACCACAAAATCTAAAAAGAAGAAAATAAGCCCAGTGAATAATTTCAGTTATAAGTAAATCAAGTTATTATGATTCTGTAAATGCAACCGGTTATAGTTCTTCAGGGTTTGCCTGCAAAAGCAAATAAATCATTCAAGCAACTTCATTCAGTAAGAAATGACATTTGGAAGAACACACTATTGTTCCAGGTTAAAATTAATCACCTATAATTCAAGATGGTTATCTGACACAAAAGCTATTATCAACTATAAACATACATTACTAAGCAAAATAAAAAAAAATTAAAAAGAATCTGACAAAATTCTTCTGAACATCAATTCATTTAACATTAGTTTTTTTTATAATGTCTATAAAGCGTTCCTAGAAAAAATCTATTCTACTTGTTCCAACTAAGAGTTTCTCTGAATATCTTACATGTTAAGCCAACCTCCCACCAGAACAATCCCACCAGAAATATCCCTACAGACTTACATTCTACCCCAGAACATCAGCTATGAAAGCAGCTGCCTTTCCTCCCAGTCCTTTGAGAATATCCAGGGGAGTCTGGCTCCTCCCCTCCTTCCCAGCTCCGAGGCACCGACTGGAGGAGGTGTGCTGAGCTGCCTGAACACAAGAGGTAAGGCAGCAAGAGCACAACATCCCCGTCACAGCCAGACACTGGTACGGCACCACTCACAGATCGCCAGGGCTTCAGAGAGGCGGTTTCCTGCACACCTAGTCCATCTGGTCCCTGAGGAATTCCTTGCTCCAGTTCCTTTCAAGCAAGCAGCCCCCGATGCCTCTAAGGAGATCCTCCTTCCGGTCACCTCACTGACCTCCACCCTCGTTTCTGAACACTTGGCAGGCAGAAGGCTGCCACATGCAACCCAGAGGAACTCACTGCCTCCCAGCTCAGACACATACCATTGTTCAAGTTGAACAGAAAGCTGCACATGTATTTATCATATACTTTCCCTCTTCTGTCAGCTTCATCTTGAGAAATAATCTAAAAAGAAAGACACAAGAGAAAATTCTTTTGGATAAAGGTGATCAAGTCTGACAGCACATGCAAAAGCACACACAGTGAATACTGGACCTTCGGAAGAAAACAAAAAGGGTCACTACAGCCAAGTTCTCTTTCCCATTCAGTCTGCACACTGATAAATCTAAGAATAACTGTATATTAAGGACCCCAACTCAGAAATATTTCCACATCCTGAAGTAATTATCCTTGGAGAAAGTGAGGAACCAAAGTCTTCTCGCTGAGCTTAAAAAAAAAAAAAAAAAAAAAAAACACACACACACACACAAGTTGGCCGCAGTGGCTCACGCCTGTAATCCCAGCACTTTGGGAGGCTGAGGCAGGCAGATCACCTGAGGTCGGCAGTTCAGGACCAGCCTAACCAACATGGAGAAACCCCATCTCTACTAAAAACACAAAATCAGCTGAGCGTGGTGGCACATGCCTGTAATCCCAGCTACTCGGGAGGCTAAGGCAGGAGAATCGCTTGAACCTGGGAGGCGGAGGTTGCAGGGGGCCAAGATCACACCATCGCACTCCATCCTGGGCAACAAGAGCGAAACTCCATCTCAGAAAAAAAAAATTTGGGTGAGTTGGTTCCAAATTGAAGCTAGCCCTATGATTTTTTGGTAACTCAACAATTTAAAAGGTGAATAACTAATGACACTGTGGTTTCTACATCCTTATCAACCAGGTTGTGGATTAAGCAGGACACTCTATGGTAAAGCTCTTGTTCTCCCTGCTGACCATAGATGAGAAAAGCTAAATGTGGCTAGAACCAAGCAATCCTGTTTTGTTTTGTTTTCCTCTGAGACAGGGTCTCACTTTGTTGCCCAGGCTGGAGAGCAGTGGCACAAATATGGCTCACTGCAGCCTCAACCTCCCAGGCTCAAGCGATCTTCCTCCCTCAGCTCCCAAGTAGCTGGGACTACAGGTATGCACCACCATGCCTGGCTAATTTTTGCATTTTTTGTAGCAATGGGGTCTCACCATGTTGCCCATGCTGGTCTCCCAACTCCTGAGCTCAAGCAATCCACGTGCCTCAGCCTCCCAAAGTGCTGGGATTGCAGGAGTCAGCCACCACGCCCAGCACAATCCAGTTACTAAGCATGCAAATCCACAAACATGCGGAAGTCCAGGCTTAAAAGGCAGTTTATGGCAATTCATTCCCAATCAAACCCACAGACTTACCTAATAAAATCAATCTAAAATAAAGAAAAGTTAGTATATACAATGCCACCTGAATATAGGTAATCAGTGCCTTACCTCTCCACAGTATTCTGAGATGAATTCATTTTTCTGCACAGGATCTTTGATAAAAATCCCCCAGCCTGCCACATCAGATGGTGCCAGCAATAGATGCTAGAGAATAAAACACAATTACAATAAAAAAAGGAGGGTGAAGATGGACTGGGGACAAAGCAGACTACAGAATGAAAACAAAAGCTATCAAGGTAAATCCTCAGACCTGTTCTAAGGCAGTAATGGAACACACAGCTTCAGTCAACGTGAAAGCTGCTGAGAATGGCTATGAACATTCTGTTTTTCTCATACAGCAGGTAAGAATCTCTGTCTTACAGAAAACCCTTTGGTGGTGTTAGTCCTCTGCAATGACCGTCATTCAGCAAGGTGCTCTAGGCCTGCTGCACTTTCGGCTTCCCTGTTTCTTCAGCCCTTGATTTCCTCGAATAATTTACTTTCAACCTGAATTTAAGGACACCACCAAATCACTCTTCTTCTCCATACCTTTCCCTCTACTTCCCCCAAGTGATTTCTATTAACATTATTCCATTTTCAGCCTCAGGACACCCCTGATTCTTCGCTGGTGCTGGTTCCCTCTGAAGCCCATGGCAACCTGGCTTTGGATTTGTTCTTCCACCCACCTCCTCAGGATAACACAAGAAACTACTGGGAGGGATTACCATGATCTTGTCAGTCCAGTAGTCTATTTTCAGCAGAAATGCCGAGATGATCATTGCTGTAAATTATGTATTTAGGGATGTGTTCCCAAACATATGCCAATTTTTCATCATGGCTCATTATTATGCTTTCATCCAAAATTTTCTTGTGACCTTTACAAAGGCTTCCCTGATCACCTAAGCTTCCAATCTATTCCTATTCTGGACCATCTTACCACTCACCTGTCAGGTGAACTTCCCAAATATCCTTCTGATCAGAAACTAAACAGCTAACTACTGCTGTGCAAATGAAACCCAACTGGTAAAAAGTATCTACATAGTTTAACATTTTTCAGAGTTAAAAAATGTCTTATAAAGAGGACATGTCAGTATGAATAGAAGTACTCACTTTCTGAACAAAGTCAGGAAGGAGTACAATGGTAAGCTGTTTGGGGGAGAAATCGAGATTTTTAGGTCTGAGCGGGTATGCCATCGGAAATTGAACCAGCGTCACTGTGATCCAGTGACCTAAATGGACATATAACTGCCTAGAGTAAAATGATCTAAATGTCTGATAGAAAAAAGTCACAGCTAAAAACAAAAAAACCCACCACCCTGCACAGCTCTCTGCCATAAACACAGACTTTGGTTCAAAAACATAAGGCAACAAAACCAAGAAAACTTCAGTGTTTTGCCTGGAGCACAATTTCTGGTAGAAGGGGACTTGCTGGTAGGAAGTGTGATCTCAATTATAAATAAATGGTCCAACAACAAAGATATGTCTACTCTACACCACACACACACACACACACACAGCATAAGGGCAGGTAATGGGAGCCTGGAGGATTTGATCTCCTGCTCCTTTACAAGTCTTGTGACTTTGGGTTTCCTTACCCGTAAAATGGGGTTAACACTTATTCCTCACTCACAGGGTTAGGAGGATCAATGAACGAATCCACTAAAGCACTTAGAACAGTGCCTGCTATTTTTACATGCTTAATAAATGTCAGCTATTATTATAAAAAGAACTGAAGAAAGACCTTATCTGCCTTTAAAAAAAAAAAAAGGATTCCCCAAACACATGCTGCTGGAGTTTCTTTCGCTCAGTCATACTTCCGGGCTCAGAGAGTTAAACCATCTACATACAATTCCCCACACTAAAAATACAGAATTCCTAGCTGGATTTTTTTCAAGGTTTTTGTTTATTTCTTTGTTTTGTTTTCTGAGACAGAGTTTCGCTCTGTCGCCCAGGCTGGAGTGCAGTGGCCCGATCTCTGTTCACTGCAAGCTCCGCCTCCTGGGTTCACGCCATTCTCCTGCCTCAGCCTCCCGAGTAGCTAGGACTACAGGCGCCCGCCACCACGCCTGGCTAATTTTTTCGTATTTTTAGTAGAAACAGGGTTTCACCATGTTAGCCAGGATGGTCTCAATCTTCTGACCTCATGATCAGCCCACCTCGGCCTTCCAAAGTGCTGGGATTACAGGCGTGAGCCACGGCGCCCGGCCTCAAAGTTATTAAACAAACAGGAAGTAAGTCTATAAAAACCTGCCATGGGAAATTTCATCTTTTACTCTACACAATAAGAAATCTATACTCTTTGATGAGAATGAGTCTATATTTTGATAGAAATCACCATTTATTTGCATTAAGGATACTAAACTACTAGTTTTAATAACTAAAAGAGAAATTCAAATAATCTATTAAACCGCTAGAAAAAATACATCTTATTCCAAATCTGATACCATGAATGGCTACTTCTCAGAATTTGCTGGTTTCTCCTACTATCGGAGTACAGTGCTCTATAGAAAACTGAAGAGACTGCCCAAGGGTGCACTATCCAGCGAAAATTATCAACACTTTCTCATCAGTTGCACCTTTCAAGGATCACTTTTACTTTTTGCCCCAGCTAAATCATCTAAGACAATCCTGACATTTGCATCACTAAATAGCTAACTACTAACAATCTTCCAGAAGCGACTGTTACTCACCTTTTTGGAGCCCCGCTGAATACTACAGTTCTTGCAGGACACATTTTTACTGTCCCAATGGTCAGCGGCTCCACAAGTAAGACAGAGGTCAGGGTCACACTCTCGGACGGCCAGGTAGCACGGGCACTGCTTGGTGTTGCACTGTGCTTTGCAGCGGCATCCCGGAAAGCGGTTTTGACCTTCAGAGAGAGGTTTGGAGGTTCTTCACTCATAACCACCATCACCATCATCACCATATGCAAAAACTTGCAGAAAGATACGTGGCAAGGGGTGTACTGAGCATCTGGCTGACTCTCAACCCTCACAACCACCTTATTGCCCTACTATACAGACAAGGAAATGGAAGTATTAACAGCGAAGTTAAAGCTGTTTGTATGAAAAAGACCACCACTGAGTTTTTCCATTTTTCATTTGTTAAACAGTGTATATATTTAAAGTAAGTGTGAATAAAGTAAGTGTGAAGAAACAATATCCATGGTCCTTGACCATTCTCACAGCCCCTAGTTCTAAACACTCCCTTAGTACTCAAGCTTCATGTGCAGTCTCATTAAACAATTATAAAAATCCACTACGTTTATGCTACATTCCTTTATTCTGAAGACTAAAACCCTCCTAACTCTGACAATTTCTGGTGTCCAAAAATTATCTGAGTAGCTCCTTCTAGATTCCTCTTACAATCTGTGCCGACTTTAATACAACTTAATTTAAATGATCAAAGAAGAAAAAAAATAAAATTCGGGTTCCTTTAATACACCTTTGCCTGCCTCACACACATAGACACACAACACCCAGGCGACTGACCAGCCAGTGGCACAGGGCCAGGTATGGGGCTCAATAAATACTTGTCAAATCCATGAGTTTCGTCAAGTAAACAAGGGAGTGCTCCCGTGTTCTTATTTTTGATTTTTTAAATTGCTAACCAAAGGCCTATTTAGTTCTCATGCAATTGCATCAAAGCAACAAATACTTACACTCTGAACTACATTGACAAAACTTTTCACAAAAATTTTGTGCTATCACACAAGGGCACGAACTGTCACAAGGCTGCCGTGGATGATCACAGGGTTGATAGTTGTAAACATGGTTAGAGGAGCCGTCTGAGTAAAGATAACATCATGCAGGCCAATGAATCCAGGGAGATGGAAACGATCATACACAATTAACACGAGTACATTCTTCCCTACTACCTGTGGAGGGTAGCTGGCCTGCCTTTACTGAATGCATAACGTTACACATATTGCGGTTTCCAAAACAATGGCAAAAATACTCTCCCACCCCCAGGTGCTTGTGAGTTCCATCTAGATACGGCGTGGCTACATCAAAGTCCCATCCCAAAGCACTTCTCCTTCAACCGACTTGGACTCATACCTTCCAGTCAGCCTCCACTTTACAGAAGAGAATTGACTGGGGATTCATCAACAGACATTCTCCATTCGAATTGGTTTAATGTAGAGAAGGCAATTGCATTAGAATAACCCAAGCTCTAATCCAGTTACTATTCTAAAACAAATGAAAACAAAGCGGACATTGTTAAGCTAATAATGAGGGGAATGGAAAGATGCTAACCCTTTTTCAGCTGTATCTTTCGGCAGTGTGCAGCCCACAACCTGCAAAAACACAAAGAAAATGAAACCAAACTTCTGCAGGACGCTACAAATCCAACAGAGAGCTGCTTAACTGGATCTATCCGTGCCATGAATACAGCAGTGCGTTAAAGCCAAGAGTCATGCCCTGCCCAGTTTATATTTGCCATCAGTTTGAAGCAACTCAAACAGCTTGATGGCTCAGGCTGCCCCAGGTGTGGCAAGACGTCATTTCCTGTGTTCATCCATGACTCCTGGTCAGAACTCCTGAGCTCCCAATGCTGCACAAAGCAGCTGGTGTGTCTGCCTGTTGATTTATTCTGATGTGGATGACACTGATCACTTCCTCTAATTTCAGGCATCATAAACCAATCAAGTGAACTACATGGTCAGAAATAATTCAACCAAAATTTAAGAAGCATCTCCTAAAGCCTAAATTCCTATGGGAAAAAAAAACCTTGACTTTTAAAAAATTCTAAATTGGGTTGGCCCTACACTTATTTTTGTTAAAGTAACAAAATGTTAAGGTAACAAAATGTAACATGAGCCTGTACACAATTTTTGAAGCATAATCTAACTGCACCCTTACGTTTCTCATTTTTAAACATGTGAGGTGGAGGTATGGGGAGATTAGGGCAGATAGTCCATTTGTAAATTTTTCTGGCTCTACATTTACAAATCAAATCACCCTGAAAACATTTGCTAAGGTGACAGTAACATTCACAACAGGCTTATATTATAGTAGGGTACCCATTAGGAGTATCGAATGCAATACCACACAACTTAGAAATTCAAGCTCCTGGAGTAAAAGATACTTCTAAAAACTGGGCCAGAGCTCACATCAGAAACACAGAACATTTCATGATGTTAAAGTAATTGTTTATAGCCTTTACTGAAAAAGCTACTAAATATGTTTTTCTTAACCCAAATTCCGTCTGGTAACTGTAATTTTTATGACTCTTAACATACCAAATATACTGAAGGCTGCTGTATTCTTATAGAAAAATACTAGCAATTCTCAGTGGAAATAAGATTCCATAGTTCTGTTTTTGATGGCAGTTTAAGGTTTTTTTAAAATAGACTAAGTAGAAACCAACAACGGCCCATAGGAAGGGCCTTGCCTGCAGTGTCTATCTGTGTTGACTTCTCTAAGCAGCTTCATGGCAGACTCACCGGTGTTTCCTCTTCTTTTTCCTTGGAGGAGTGTCCACATCCTCAGCAGGAGCTGGAGCTATGATGCTAGATTCTTTGACTCTAAACTCATACACCTGACAAGAGGCACAGTCACAGAGCCATGAGGACAGTCTTATTTAGGCAAACCATTCTTATACTCATGCATACCAGAAAAATGTCTGTCTCTTCTGTGACACTGCTAGATGCTGGGGATATAACAGACATCGCTGTCCCTACCCTCACATTGGGGGTAGCTGTAATTATATTCTGGTCAAGACCTGTGATGCTAAATTTAAATTCTTACTAGCTTTTAAAATCTACTATCTAACCTTAAAAGTCTACAGTGGGGAAACTCTGTAACATACCTGGAGAATAATTTTCATTCAATTCCCTCTTGGGAAGAAAAAAAATTATTTTTAGGAGATGAATAGGAGCTTAGTAATAACCAAGAATTTTCTTTGTTTGGACAATGAGTACATTTTTATCTCTATATTTGAAGCTCTTTTAACAACATTTTTATCGGATATCTTACCTGTCTACATGTTTTGGTCCCAATTAACCTAGCAATGGCACAGAAATTGTCATAGTAAGTGCCAATGAGGACTCTAAACATTGAGGCTTCAGCACCACTCCACTCCACATTCTCAGGAGGTTCAATATTTGGCTTCATCTTTATTGGTGTTTGACACCGAGAATTTGCTTCTACAAAACCAAATGTAAGCACTGGTCAAGAAATTATTGGAAATAATATTAAGAAGTAAAATTCAGGGTGTGCTTAAGAAAAAAGCAAAAAGATAAGGACAACTAAAATCCAATTGGTAAAATACTAATTCATCAGTAGTTCACATTTTCTAACAAAACTATTCATAGAACATCAAGAATATTAAACCAAATGATCTGAATTTCATCATTCCCTACCTAAGATCAAAAAAGGAAAATGGCACAAAGAATGAGAATAAACTGCATCATCAACTTTCAAACAAACAAGCAGGGCAAACACCACAAGCCAGGGTAGGGGTGGAGGCAGGAAACACAAGCAACGCAGCTACACATTCTTGAGATAATGCTGGTCTTAAGACTCTAGTCTTTATACTGAAACTAACCAACTAAGAAAATTATTCAATACATTATACATCCTTAATCCTCACAATATGAACTTTCACAGAAGAGTAAATCCCAGTTATTAGACGTGTCTTACCAGAGGAGCTCGAAGTTTCGTCTTTCTTCTCTTCTTCTTCTTTATCATTGTTCTCTCCCCCCGTTTCAGTCCCTGCTTCCCTATCACTGTCTGTATCCTTTGATTCCAGCACATTAATGGTGGGGGTGCTGGGCCTGCTACTGTTATTGGGAAGCCGTCCTCTTCTGCGGCCTCCTGGGCGTTTTGGTGGGGTCTTTATCCGCTCAGCAGTGAGAGCAGCAGCGAACTCCTTTGCTCCCTCCTACGAAATGAAAAATGTCAACATGAGGGCAAAGTTCTAAAACTCATTTTGATGGAAGAGAAAAAAAATACTATATAAGCCAGGTTAGTCAAAAAATTTATCACATTATCCATTTATCACAAATAATCATTTGCATGTCTAATATACTTGTTTTTGATATGCTTTTGATAGTCTGAAAATTTCAGAAAGAGAAATATGGGTTCTATATATTCCTAGAATGGTACAAAAATCAGGCAAGACAGTTCTATATTGTGAATTTGTAAAATATATTAACTGGTTATAATTAAGTTAAAATATAAGAAGATAAAGTATGAAATATACTTCATGTAATAAAGGTAATTATCTCTATGGACATAGTCTATTTAAAAGTGAATCTTTACAAAAGAATCATATACCTAATGTGCACGGAGTCAGACTACCTATGCAGAGTTTAAGATAATGCATACCTCTTTGTGTTAATATTTAAAGTATACAAGAACACAAAACACAAACATGCTTGACTTTGTCACTTCCTGTCTTACTATTAAAACATCCAACATTTTTTTTTTCCTGTGAAAGATACACAGCCACAGGAAGACATGAAAGGAACTTCAGAATAAGACTCTGAGGGTTACATCTTGCATTATGAAGTACAATAATCCAGTCTCAAAGTATAAAACAATGGTAAGAGCATGGTTTATAGAGACCACAGAAACATTTTAGATGAGCCAAACAAAATTCTGCCTTGTAAAGATTATTATAAAACAAGTGCTCAAGAATTCCATTTTTTTTTTAGTGGAAATAGAAGGGAGAAGTTTGACAGCAGCCAACAGTTTTATACTTCATTCTACAAAAACCAAATTGCTTAAAAATAGGATACCTTCTGCAGGTGCCATTCAATGAATCTTCTGTCCAAAATCCAACAGGCAATATATACCCATTTAGTTCCTAGGTAGGAGTGGCTTGGTTCAAAGAGGGGAAATGGTAAAAATAAGAGAGTACCCGTAAAAAACAACTTTTCTACCTCATATTTTCCTAACCCCTTACCTTTTCTCCATCATTTAAAAAAAAAAAAATCTGTGGAACCTATCAGATAGCTGAAATGACAGTGCATCTAAAACTCAAGCAGAGGGATATGGCTATGAGAGGGGCTTAGGGTCTACTGCGTATGGTTACTGCATGCCTGCTTTCTAAGTGGACTATCTGTGCCTCGCAACTCTCATAGACTTTGTGGAAGGCATAAGAGTCCTTGATCCTAAAGGCCTTGAAATGTTGCTGAAGAGATAACACAGATTTTAAAAAGAATAATACCACATTAATGAAAGACTAAAATGTGCAGTACATGAGCTATGGAAGAAACAGCACGGGTGAGAAAGCTCTGTCTATCATATGGCCCATAACAGCACGGGTGCAGACAACATTAACGCTGACTTGATCACCTCCACCAAAGTGCAAAATTAAGTCCTCTCAAGTACCCTCTGCAATAATAAGGCACTAAGTCTTACCAAATGCTGGTAACACTGTGGTCCACAAGGTTTGTTGTCTAAAGCTGTTTCTGTGTTCTTCCGCTTATAAGTGTTGGGTGTTGCATGAAAAGCTGCAAAATAAATGAAACAAAGAATCTAATATAACTATAAAACACTTTTTCACTTTTCCAGTTCCACTTTTCCAGTTCCACTGGAAAAGTCAATTAATGGATTATAATCTTGCTAATATATGGTTTACATTACTTTATATAACTTTCCTGCAAGCTCTTACTGAACGATCACAATGTATTTTCCATTCCTCCTCCTCCAACCATTAAGCAGGAAGGAAAAACAGTAAATTCTGGAATGATTCATAATTTCTCATTTTTCTCCTTGCAAGTAACACTGATGCACATAACTATGGTTATAGACATTTACTTAAATTGAATCTTACTATCTCTGTTTAAGCAGCTGATACTCCCGCTACAATTAAATCAGATTTCCTATTTTTAATTCTGACATACAGTTTCTTGATTTCTAAAGAAAGGTCAGCAATCAGCTTGTCACCAGTTGTAAAAACTCGTTTTTAATGGTAAAGAGGACAACCCCAGATTACTAACATTCAATTCCTGTGAATCATACCCAATCCAAGAACCTGGTGAGAGCTTACAGTGTCTTGCCACAGAAAATTACGATGTCAAAAAACAGATTTTAGATACACTGTTTGAAACCTAAAATTCCAAAATAACGTAACAGAAAGATTCAAATGCGGATACACTGCTATATGAAAACAGTGTGAACACTGACAGCAGTGCAAACTTCAGAGAATTTCTTGCAAAAACTTGCTTCCTCATATACAAAAGAGAAATGCTGGAAATGGACTATTCAAAATTACACAAAATGAAAATTAATCTGGAGAAAAACAAGTGACATTCCCACAAAACAAATCATCTTTTAAATATCTGTAAAAAGCCATAAAGACTGATGAGAAAGGGAAGGGGAAAAAAAAGGGCAAAGTTGTGTTTTTAAAGAAGAAAAATTGGCCAGGTGCGGTGGCTCAAGCCTGTAATCCCAGCACTTTGGGAGGCCAAGACGGGCGGATCACGAGGTCAGGAGATCGAGATCATCCTGGCTAATACGGTGAAACTCCGTCTCTATGAAAAAATAAAAAAAAAAAAAAACCTAGCCGGGCGAGGTGGCAGGCGCCTGTAGTCCCAGCTACTTGGGAGGCTGAGGCAGGAGAATGGCGTAAACCCAGAAGGCGGAGCTTGCAGTGAGCTGAGATCCGGCCCCTGCACTCCAGCCTGGGCAGCGAGATTCTGTCTCAAAAAAAAAAAAGAAGAAGAAAAATTCAAGGCTTAGATTCTGTTGCAGTGTGTGAGCAATTAGGCTCCAGAAAGCCTAACACCCAATACTAATCTGGTGCTGGATTACGTTCGCTTAGGCACGCTAATACAACTATTTTTCTCTTTATGAGTTAATCTAACATTGTAGCTTGTTCTCTGAAGAAAAAAAATACATAATTTAAAATATGTAAACCACTTCTTAAAAAAAAAGTGACAATGAAATACAGAGAAAACAAGAATATTAACAAAAATAAAACCACCATTAGAAAACACATAAACTTTATTCAACTTGGATGTAAAGAATAATTTTCTAAAACTCATTCAGAAGAGACAGAACATTTATCTCTATCTACCAGCACTACTATATTTTAAACTGTACTGAAAATACAAGCTGAAGTAGGTAGAAAAGACAGTTACAGCTCTTTTACAGTTTGTCTTGCAGGCTTTCTGTTTTTGTTTTTTTTTTATCAGAAAGCCTCCCCGCTCCCCGCCCCACCAAAAAATAAATAAATAAAGTATGTAGAAAAGAGAAAGAAGCTTCAGTTATAAAGATTGGAAAGAAGGCAAAACCATTAATAACTACAGACAGTATAATTACACAGCTGGAAAACTCCTAAGAATGTACTGAGAAACTGATAAACACGAAGACAATGCAGTAAGGTAGCAGGGTACAAAATAGAAGACAAAATGTGGAAAAGGCCCAACAGCAATAAGTTTAATACCTAGAAATACTCGACAAAAAATGTACAAGAGTTATATAAAGAAAACTTGGGAGGTAATTAAAGGACACAAAAAGAGAGGTGATGGTATGGTTAGTGAGACTTAACCCTTATATTTTAAAAAGAAGTTAGGTAATTTATAAATTTAATGGGATTCCAATAAACATACTGCTAATTTTTTAAAAAAAGAACTAGACAAACAGATTTTGAAATGTATATAGGCTGGGTACAGTGGCTCATGCCTGTAATCCCAGCACTTTGGGAGCCCAAGGTAGGAGGATCACTTGAGGCCAGGAGTTTAAGACCAGCCTGGGCAACACAGTGAGACCCTATCTCTAAAAAAGAAAAGAAAAAAAGAAAAAGGAAACTAGCCAGCAATGGTGGTGCATGCTTGTAGTCCCAGCTACGCAGGAGGCTGAGATGGGAGAATAGCTTGAGCTCAGGAGGTCAAGGCTGCAGTGAGCCATGATTATGCCACTGCACCACTCCAGCCTGGGTGACAGAGCAAGACCCTGTCTATAAATAAATAAATTTATATACAAAAACAAGAATTGCCAGGAGATGTCTGAATACCGCCTCATGAATAGACTAAAGGAACACAATGTTGAGAAACCCAAATACATATGGCAATAGGCAATGAAGGAAATATTTCAAGGTAGTGAAAGATGAACTTTTCAGTAAATGAAACAACTAGGCAACTTTGGAAGTGAGAAGGAGGATCAGATTTATAATCTATATTATATTAAATTCCAAATGGATCAAAGATTTATATGTTTAAAAAAAATGAAGCCTAAAACATACTCGAAAAAGTGAGAAACCCTTTATAATCTTGGAATGGGAAAGTTAACTGATAAATTCAACTACTTTTTAAAAAATATTTAAACTGACCAGGTGCAGTGGCTCACACCTGTAATCTCAGCACTTTTAGAAGCTGAGGCGGGTAGATCACTTGAGGTCAGGAGTTCAAGACCAGCCTGGCCAACATGGCAAAACCGCATCTCTACTAAAAATTCAAAAATTAGCTGGGTGTGGTAGCCCATGCCTGTAGTCCCAGCTACTCCAGAGGCTGAGGCACAAGAATCACTTGACCCCAGGAGGCAAAGGCTGCAATAAGCCAAGATCACACCATTGCACTCCAGCCTGGGTGACAGAGCAAGACTCTGTCTCCAAAAAAAAAAAAAAAAAAAAGTTTAAACTTTGCTTATGGGACTTTTATCAAATAAACCTGAAAAAAATTGCAACTCATATTTCAAAACACCTAATTTCCTGATTATATAAAAAGCTCCTAAGATTATCAAAAGACCTATAAGACCAAGAATAAAAATAGGCCAGGTGCGGTGGCTCACACCTGTAATCCTAGCACACAGCTGACGTGGGTTATTACCTGAAGTCAGGAGTTTGAGACCAGCCTGGCCAACATGGTGAAACCCTGTCTCTACTAAAAATACAAATATGAGCCAGGCGAGGTGGTGCGCGCCTGTAATCCCAGCTACTCAGAAGGCTGACGCGGGAGAATCACTTGAACCCAGGAGGCAGAGGTTGCAGTGAGCCAAGATTGCACTCCAGCATGGGCGACAGAGCAAGACCCCTGTCTCACAAAAACAAAAAAAACAAAGAATAAAAATAGTTCACTCTTCAACATATAGGAAGATCCTACCCTCATTCAAAGGAATAAAACCCAGATATTAAAACAATGCTTATCACCTGTGGGAAGCAGAGATTAAAAAATAAAGAAAAACAAGAACTTAAAAATAATACTAAAAGCCATTTTTCACTTACAAAATCAACTTTAAAAATTAGTTTGGTAACACTTTCTATGGGCAGGGCTCTCTGACTTTGCTGGTAGGGTTTTAAGGTGCTGTATCCCTGTATGACAGGTCATTTGGCGATACCTAAATAGAGTTTATCAGGTAAACTTAAACTTGTGTGAAATGGGTACAGATATCTGCAAGATAATTCACTGTAGCACTGTTACAGCATAAGGCTCAAAATAATCCAAATGGTCACCATTAGAGACCAGTCCAGTAAGTTCTGCAACCTCCTACAGCACAGGCTATGCAGCTATACAGATAAAGCTAATAGCTACAATATTAAATCCTATCCTTATCCCCAAAAAAGGGAAAAGCCTGAATGCTATGGCACCATTTAAATAAGATGGTCAGGAAAAAAAGAGTATCTTTATACTTGTCAAAGAAACTGTAAAAAAAAAAAAATACAAGAGAACTAATAAAAGTGGTTAACTACTAATAAAAGTGGAAGGAGTGAGGTAAAAATTCGATGGAAGGGGAACAGAAAATCATTGGGAGACTTCATTGTACACATTTTCATACTTTTTTTTTTTTTTTTTTTTAAAGAGATGGGGTCTCACTCTGTCACCCAGCTGGAGTACAGTGGCATGATCATAGCTCACTGTAGCCTCAAACTTTTGGGCTCAAGCAATCCTTCCACCTCTGCCTCCCAAAGCACTGGGATTAAAAGGATGAGCCACTGCGCCCAGCATATCTTCATATGAATACTTTTTAGAAATGTAAACCATGTGAATGATGACCTATTTTAAAAATCACAACAGGTAACAAGAGTCAGGTATCATTTTAACTATTTTCCACATATTAATTCATCTAATCCTCACAACAGCTCTATAAAGGAAGTAGTATCATATCCCCAAGATAGAGACCAGAAAACTAAAGCACAAAACGCTACATTTAACATACAATCGACCAGGCACAGTAGCTCACGCCTGTAATCCCAACGCTCTGGGAGGCCGGGGCAGGTGGATCACTTGAGGTCAGGAGTTCAAGACCAGCCTGGCCAACATGGTGAAACCCCATCTCTACTAAAAATACAAAAATTAACTGGACGTGGTGGCGGGCGCCTGTAATCCCAGCTACTCAGAAGGCTGAGACAGGAGAATCCTTTGAATCCAGCAGGCGGAGGCTGCAGTGAGCTGAAATCGCACCACTGCACTCCAGCCTGAGCAACAGAATGAGACTTCATCTCAAAAAAAAAAAAATAAATACAGTTATGTACTGCATAACATCTGAGTCAATGATGGACCGTATATACAACAGTGGTACCATGAGATCATAATATTGTATTTTTACTGTACCTTTTCTATGTTTATTAATGATTTAAATATACAAATACTTGCCATTGTGTCACAACTGCCTCCAGTATCCAGTACAAGGAGTGACATGCTGCAGGGTGTGTGGCCTAGGTGTGTCATGGGCTGTACCATCTAGGTTTGTGTAAGTACACTCTGTTTACACAATGCCAAAATCACCTAACAACACATTTCTCAGAATGCATCTCCGTCCATAATGCACGATTGTATGTATTTAATGATTTAGTAACTTATTTTACCTAAGAAAAATATACCATGTGTGGTATTTTGTCAAAGTTAATGTAAAGCAATGAAGTTCCTATGGAACTCATTAGGATTGAATGATGAAGACATTGGCTCTACCGTAAAAAGAAGTAAAAGTGGGCCTAGCAAAGTTGGACCCATGGCTACCAAATGCTACAAGGAGGCAGCCAGTTAGTCCCATGAAAGCCAACTTTATTAATAAAGTAAAATATTCCTCTCTTCTCCCCAGCTAGAATAATGAGATACGTAATAGGTTCAAGGTTCAAGTTAAAAAAAAAAAAATTACTCATCTCTGAATAGCACAATAAAAAAACTCTTGTAATGTTTAAAAGTAGTGTCCTACTTCTATGGTTCATTTTTACAGCAAAAATCTTTACTAAATGCTACATCTATAAACAAAAAATTGGAAGGACCTTTCAGCGACTCCAAAATAGTGCTTCTACTCAATTCTTTAGGCATAGTGATATCTGCATGCAATTTACAATATTCTTAATAAAAACTGGATGTAATTCATAAATTGATGGTGTGTAAAGGGGAATTAAAATGAAATTCAAGACAACTATTTCAAGGGCTTAACTGTCCAATGGCTGAAGCAACAAATGGACGACTTACTACGAATTTTTAAAACTACCAAATCAATTTAAACCAGAATAGAAGTTGAGAACAAGAGCAAGGAGGTTACGATATAATGATAATTCTAAAAATCTACTTCAAGTTCTTCTATTTTAAGATACCTAAACCACTAATATGTCACACACAAAAACAAAACTTAACATTTCCAGACCAATGTATACATCACTCAACACATTATCAGTTGCAGGAAAAATAAGCACAGCAAAAACTTAGGAGGAGGTGAGGTACAGTAGCTTGGGCAAGCTTAAAAAGACGTATCATTGGTGAATGAGGAGGAATAAATCTGTCAATGGTAGGCATAGGAACTCAAGACAAAGCAATGTGGGGCCATTTAGTACAGGAGAAAACGATTTTACAATGGGTCAAAGGCCCTAAAGAAGTTACCATAGACAGACATACTAAAATACAATATGGGAAAAACCGAACTATAATAAGCAAACTACTCTAGGAAAATTAGGAACTATTAAATACATTTTCAAAATACGTGCCTCAAAAGTAGTTGATGCTTTTAAACTGTGCTTAAAAGTTTCAATTACCAGGAAAATTTACTAAGAAACCACATTCCCTAGAAATGCCAGGGGAAAAAAGTATTTTTGTATATACCATACTTAAATTTTCACTAAGAACATGTTACGTTTTACTTGTATTCAAATGCAGGTATTTTTAAAAAAAAAAAACAACTTACCCAGAGGGCAAAAAAAATTTACACTAAATCGACAAGCACTTACCTGAACATTTTTTTGGCCAATTTCTTATTTAACACAATTTGTTCATCAATATCAGCAATGTTGCTCTGGGCTATCAGTTAGTTCATAATAATAGTTTTATTATAAAACAGCTGCTTAGTTAGCACTTACGGAAAAAAAAAAAAATCACTGACCTGAATTCTGTATTAGTGGAAAATAGTAGTCCAAATGAAATACACACAAAAGATTTCAGAGCAATCCTCAAGCAACAAAGTAAAAATAATAATACTGAGATCTAAAGACTTTTGAAAGTAACTACAGGATTAACTGATAAATTCTAGTTGTAATAAATGATAGCACTCTCCAAGCTGGTTTTAAAACATAATTCCACAACAAAGATAGAAAATGAAAACGTACAATAATTGCACTTACGATGTAGGAAGCAGTCATATTTAAAACATCGCCTACAGAAAAGCGTATGAAAGGAGTGTAAGCTTTGCTCTCTCTGAACAGATTTAGCGTTTGGTCCATCTATGTTGGGGGTACATTCAGGAGGAAGTGCGCCTGGGAGCTGCTGTTCGGTGAGTTCTTTATATCTGACATTAACCAAGAAAAATTTAAGTAAACATGAAACAAAAATCACTTTTTTGAAAACAGTTTCTAAAAGGTTTCCATGTGTTACTTTTGATGTTCATCTTGCCTAAAACATATAGGAATGGCTCTAACCTACAACAATCTTTATTTAGATAAAGAGCCAACTAAATATTGTGCATGGTGTTACGAAGAATCAAATTCATTGATATGATTCAAATATATCATGGAAAAGGATATATCAGTTTTAACTAAACACCAAATTTTGCTATCAGTATCCAGATAATTTTCCTGTAAATCTACCACTGTAAATTTTATGTGCATATGTGTGTTTATGTGTAGATATAAATTATTTATTCTATCTACAGGAAATATTTTGTAATGCAGAGTACCACAGGTACATATGTTGCTTCAAGTATCTTGCAAACATTGTAAATAAAGTGTAGCGGCTCATCCACTACATTGATTCCATTTGTAATAAACCAAGAGTTACATACCACACAGGGCAGATTGCCTCAAAGGAACATATCTTACTTTTCCTTTAGTTCCTCTGCTGTGCCCTTATCTGGAAACATCGAGGAAATGGCTTCAAAAATTTTATCAGAAGGAAATTTCCGAGGTGGGCGGCTTTCTTTATCTAAACAGGAGAATATGAAAGGAAAAAAAGAATGGAAGTAAACAAGTTTTCGATCTTTAATTTTCTCCACCCAACTACGTCTCTGTAACAAAGTTGATTTTCTAAGAAATCATCTCAATTTTGTGTTTCACTTACTTCTCACATACTTTACATGTGTCTGTGGAATACCAGTCGGTCAAAAACAAAATTCAAATATGAAAAGCTTTAAGAACACTGGGAAGCAGAAAACCTAGGTTCCACTCCCAGCTCTGCTACTAACTGATTTTTGTGACAAAGAGTGATCACTTTACCTCTTGGGTCTGTTTACCCATCTGTAAAATGAAGGAGCAGAACTAGATGATCAATAAGATACCTTTTTGTTATTTTCTCTTTTTCAAATATGCTTCTTAAGAAATTGCTATTTCACTCGCCAAATTATTCTATGCTGCTTTAACATGAGCTTTGCCAAGTAGAGAACACCAGCTATTGTCTCTGTTTCTTCCCAATAGTGTAATCTTATAAGTTACTTAACCTCTCTAAATCTATCCCCTCAAACAGAAAATGGATCTGATAATAACATCCACCTCATGAAGCCGTTATGAGGATTAAGTGAGCTGGTGCACATGAAGTGATTAGTACACAACTTGTACATAGTGAATATCAATAAGTTATATATTATAATGATGCCCAGAGAAGCACACAAAAAATTATGTTCTTTGCTAGCCAAAGGAAACAGAGACACTCAAGTGAAGATAATGTTGCAAGTAATATGCTTTTTTCTTTTTTTCTTTTATCTTTTTTAAGGCAGGGTCTCACTCTGTCACCCAGCCAGATTGTCAAGTGGCACAATCACAGCTCATTGCAACCTACACACCTCCTGGGCTCAAGCAATCACCCTGCCTCATGTTTTTACTTTTTAGTAGAGATGGGGTCTCACTATGTTGCCCAGGCTGGTCTTGAACTCCTGGGCTCAAGCAATCTGCCCACCTTAGCCTCCCAAAATGCTAGGATTACAGGGTTAGCCACCTTGCCTGGCCATAATATGCTAATTTTGATTATACCGCTATCAGTGTGACATTCAGCAAAGAAAAAGAGAAAGAAGAAACTAAGCTCTACTTCTACTCTTTCTACTGTTTTTGAAAGAAAGCTGTAATGGCTACACAGAATCCTAATAACCAGGCATACCATCTCGGTGATCCTCCAGATCTTTCTGTTTTTCTTCTCTTTCTTCAGGATCGTCTCCATCATCATCATCATCATCATCATTATATTGACCAAGGGCATTGACCAACTCCACAAAAATTTCATCATTTATAAACCCACATTCTGAAATGCATCAAATGTCAGAAACACACAGGGGAAGTAGTAATGTCAAAAGTTTATGTATCCTTTTTCTACTTGGACAAAACAGGCATAGATAGCCTAGTAACTAGCACTAAAACATTATTATTGAAATGCGGGGAGGAAAAGATAAGATCATTTTCAAGACTGGCGTTAGGCAAAGTTAGGAAGGAAAATTATCTTTAATACCTGCTACTTTCTGTTGAATAGCCCCTCCCCAAAAGTTTCTAGTAGAAAACTGAATTCTCTAGGAACTGATTGTGGCTTTAGCCTCCTCCCAAACAATGGATCTGTCCTTTAACTGATGACTTCAGATCCTGCTTTCTGCTGATAATGACAATGGATGATGACATTACAAATATTATCCTTTCAGACACTTTAACAGGGCCTCCTGGACACAAAAAACTGAAACCATGACTCCAATGATTGAATTTCAGGTACTGCAGTCCCTAGAGGAACAGTATTTTTGAACAGTAGGGGCTGCTGGAGCCCCCACATGCCACAGCAGAGCCCCAATCCTAATTAATTTTATTACTAAAGAATCTTAAAATCTACATACACTCAATTTCTATTTAATTTACATGTTACTGCCATTATAATTTATGTTATAACCAACTATGTGTAATTATCAGGTGGCAAACATGATCCTCCTAATTTTCCCAAAAATAGTTAGGGAAAATACTGAAAATCTCAGGCCTGGGCCCAGGTTCAGTCCCTTATAGTTCAGTGCAAAACTTAATTTTAATATTAAAATTTTTCTCATGCCCTATGCCTTATAAACAAAATTATCTCTCAATTCTTTAGCCCCTTTTTCCAAGAGAAGCAGCATATGGCTCACCTCTATCCCCGTGTACTTTTCCATCATAATTTTTTATTAGTTCTTCAATGAAAGTACCATCCTGGTCTAAAACTTCATCTCCCATATACGGAATGTTATGTAAAACAGTTTCATCTTCCACCTAAAAATAAGAAAAAACAAATTTAAAAAGCAGGTTTATTCTAAGTATCAAATGTGAAATAACTAAAATACAACCTTTTTTTCATATGTAGATGTCTTTACCCAGTTCTCCAGATTTAAAATACTAGTCAGAGAGGAAACTCTAAAATGTATCAAAGAATAAAAAGACTCCTCTCGCCAATAAGCATATCTGAGAAAACTGTTGACAGGAAAAAATTTTGATTCAAGGAAAAATACTGCACTTAGTCTGTCATCAATCATTAAAACTTACCATTATTTTACATACCTCTAAGAAAGAAAAAGATGCTCTAGATTATGAGAAGACATCATCCGTTTGTTTTTCTGTTTTTTGTTTTTAATTTGAGACAACTGTCTTACTATGCTGCCCAGGCTGGTCTCGAACTCCTGAGCTCAAGTGATCCGCCCGCCTTGGCTCCCAAAGTGCTGGGATGACAGGTGTCTGGCACCATGAGCCACCATGCCCAGCCATCATTGGTTTTAAGGCACACTTTAGATGTTAATACAGGATGATGAAATATGGTATATCAAGATCCATATAGACCCATCCCAAAAACGACCATAAGACTCCCAAATTCCACTTGATGATCTGGTTATTAAAACAGCCATTAACTTGTAATAGTTTAAGGTAAAATGAAAAAAAAAAATTAAGACATCCAATATAATAAAATTCTAGGGATGTAGAGTATTGATAGTCCATTAAAGTTTATGCTATATTAAAGGATATGTACTTATATGTAAAATAAGAACATTTTACAAAAACATAAAATATTTCAATATTTAGATGAATGAGATGAACATCAAAGTTGACAGTGCTAGTAAAGATGACAGGTGAGTTTTTATCAAGCTTTGGAAGACAACAGAGAAGAAGAGCCAATCAAAGAAAAGTTAAGAGAGAACGGAATACTTAAGAATACAAGGGAAAGAAAGCTGACATTCATGGGAGGAAGAGCATTTCCAATGAAGAATAAAAATGACAGTAATCATAGATAAAGACTGGACAGTTCTGAAGCACACGTTTAAAAAGACTAATTCCAAGTGAAGACAAGTCTAAATCTTAAGAGGCCTTTGAAAAGGATATTGGTTAAAAACAGAATTTTAGAAAGATAATTCTGACAAGCAGAATTGGACTGGCTATGCCTGACTGGGAGGACACAGCAGCTCTTTAAAGAGTGAGATGGCGCAGGCTGGGCCCGGCACTGTGATCATGGCCCACAGGGAAGAACACGCTGGAAAAGGCCATACATGGGACTACTAGCAGGCAGGAAATGTGGGAAAAAATCTCAAATAATCCCTAGGTAACAAATTTAGGACAACTGGAGAGTTCATAAAGATAACAGTACCATAGACAGACAAGGAAAAGTGGGATAAAAGGGTAATTAAAATGCAGATTTTAATGTACCCATATATTCAAATTCAAGATTATGTACACACTAGAGGCCTGTTTTCATCTCATTTCACTTGCACTAATCTCATTTAAACTAGGGGTTGATTTCTTTATATCTAAGCCAAAATTAAGTGACACTTACATATTTTGTCTTTTCAATCATATCCACATCATCCTGCTCACCAAAACATATCCTAGTTATAACAAAGATTGTGTGCCTAATCTGCTTTGGTCAGCAAAATCAGACAGGGTCTGGCTCTGTCACCCAGGCTGGACCAGCAAAATCCATGGATGATTCATAAATTATATTTAATGAAAAATTTAAATACCACATTCTTCCAGAATTTCAGTCTGTGAAAACATGAAACTTCCCTCAAGGTCATGCAATGTAATTCTCAAACTACACTCAAATTTATACAACTACAGAAGAGGAACTGAAGTTGACAATCTTCTGTACAAAGTTACTAAAAAATTCCCTAAAGCAGTTCACCAAGGACTTCCATCAACATTTTATTAGCCTTTCCACTTTATATATCAATTAAGTAATACAACTACATATTTTTTATTTAGCAATGCAAGTCAAGAACACATGCTTCAGTTTCTCTTTAGCATTTTATTACAAAAGCTGCTGGGTCAGAGTTAGCAATGGAAATATATTTCAGCTCATGTTTTATAAGCCCTATGAAATTATATAATGTACATTATCACAATAAAATGCCACCTAAATTGTTTTAAACAGTAAGTTCTCAATTAACAAAAACCCAAAGTCAGATTTAGACTATAGGACACTGACTTTTTTAAGGATAAGAACTATAAGCTTCATTCCTTTTTTGTTTGTTTGTTTTTGAGACAGGGTCTGGCTGTCACCCAGGCTAGAGTGCAATGGCACAATCTCAGCTCACTACAACCTCCGCCTCCCTCAATCCATCCTTCCACCTCAGCCTCCTGAGTAGCTTGTGACTACTGACATGCACCACACCCAGCTAATTTTTGGTGTTTTTTTTGAGGAGACAGCGTTTTGCCATATTGCCCAGGTTGCATCTCCAATTCCCGGACTTAAGTGATCAGTCTGCCTCAGCCTCCCAAAGTGCTGGGATTACAGGCATGAGCCACAATGCCCAGTCCATCTTTTAAATCTTTTTAATCCTAGGTATGGTTACTGCTTAACACTTTTCCTTTGGAGAATACAGGAAAAGAGTAATACTGCACAGGCCTTAAAGAAGCTATATTAATCAATTTTTAAAAATTACTTCAAGTGTTATTTTGATAGCTTTTCAGAATTTATACTGTCTTGATTCACCTTGACAATAAAATTATCTATGCTTTTTTATTTCAAATAAGTTATCAAATAAGCAGAAGATATCTTATTTACATACCATAAAATTCTGCTGTAGGGGAGACCAAGAATACATTATGGGTACTGAAGCAACTGCATTCAGAGTCTTTAATGGGATGACTTGTGTTGGAAAATCCAAGTCACTGGTCACCGAACACTAAAACAGAAAAAATAAAATTGACTCTTAAAAGGACAACCTTAAGCTGTAGCCATCATATTGTAAAGAGATGCTGCCTACCTAAATATTTAATTTTGAAAAAAGTCCTTACCTAGGACAGTAAAGTGGTCATATAAACCAAATAGGATTCTCTCTTTTCTCTCTTTTACTTAGGGTGAAAAAATGCTTCAAATTTTCCAAATGTTCAAAACCTCCAACCCTTCCCATACTTACCAATATCAGTAAGAATCAAAAACTGTACTTATGTGAGATTCAGCAATCTGATTAACTGCTCCATGCTTTTGCTAGACATTTATTTCCTAGCTCATCCTTCATTTCTCTTACATTCCAACCACACAGAATAATAATATATATACCAAATAAACCACTTAAATCTTACTTAACAAGAATAAGAAAACCTGTTAGGTTATCTTCCTTATCTTTATCTTCCTTTTTAAAAATCTAAGTGTCAACTGCTGATATTATCAGATGATACATAAATATTAAGGGTAATGGGTTTGTGTTTCAATCACAACAAAGTAAATTCAAATCTATTCTGCAAAACTGTAATCTCTGAATTATAATATTAGCTAATTACTAAGTACTTTTTATGTGCTAGGCTATTTTAAACACATTACATGTCTTCTATTTAATCCTCATTATAACACTGTAAGATGGATACTATTCTTAGCCCCCATTTTACAGGTGAGAAAACTATAGAAAAGAAAGGATAAGTAGCTTGCCCAAGATTGCGCATGGTTCTCGGGCTAGAATGTAAACTCCAAAAGTCTGACTCTGGAGCCCCTGCTCTTCCCGCTCCTCACATTGCCATGATGCCGTACTGCTATAATGTGTCAGTGCACATAGTCCCTTGAAACACCATATTTCATACAATCTATGATGACAGCGATTTCAAGGTATACCATTGTGTTCTGTATCACTAAGAAAAAAGTGCTGCCAACTAAACAAAGATATAATCCGTTCTTATCACAGTGATTCTAAGATGCATGTTGGTTTTGAATGTTAAATGTGAAAAATTTTGCATCTTTGATTCTCTGAAATATGGCAAAACTCTGTGCCCAAATAACCACAGCACTTTTCACCCTGTCTACAAATCCGAGATTCCTTAAAGAGTACTACTGCCCAAGTGTAAGTCCTCCAGAGCCTTCTCAAAAATATCCTAGACATACATTCATAATCCACAATCAATGAAAATAGAGCAAAAAAGAAGTGTAGTAAAATGAAACTGAAAAATCATATATATATACACACATACATATTAAATGTTTAAATTTTTTATTTAAAATGTCTTAAGAATAGCAGAACGAGGTGTGGTGAAATTCAGAGTAGAAATCTGGCATATGCGCCACACCTGACCCTCAGCATTGGGTTGCATCAGGCCAGTGGGATAATCTCTCAATCATCACAGTCACTGCAGCACAAAAATAATTCCTTCCTTAGTGAAAGTAAAGGTTTAAGGATGGAGTAGTTAGAAAGAACTGTGACAGTGATTCATCCATTAATTTGCTTTCCAAAAAGGCAAAGATAAAGATCATAATACTAATAAGGCTCATAACCCAAGTAAACAAGACGGTGTGAACAGTTTACTAACACTCCAGAGCCCATAATCTTTCCCCTTCCTGCTATTTGGCCTCTGATACAATCCTTCATCCATCCATCCATCCAATATTCCAATAAAAACAGCAGTTAACATTTATTGAGCACGTACTATGTTGCAGGCACTGTGCTAAGTGCTTATATACATTATCTTAATTATTCATTACAACCTTATGATATAGTTTTAGCATCAAAACTTCACAAATGAGGACACTGAGGTTCAGAGAAGTTATATAATTTGTCTAGTCAGAAAGGTAGCAAATTACAAAACCAGGATTAAAACCTGGATTTAAAGTCTGACTGCAACACCCGTGAGCTTAATTAATTACTGCACTGTAGTTCTTGCCCTTGCAATGCTCATGGGGTAAAATAACAATTACAGCCATGCAGTATTTACTATATAAAACAGAGACATGGCTGGGCACAGTGGCTCAAGTGTATAATCTCAGCACTTTGGCAGGCCAAGATGGGCAGATCACTTGAGCCCAGAAGTTCAAGACCAGCCTGGGCAACATGGGGAAACCCTATCTCTACTAAAAACACAAAAAAATTAGCCCAGCAAGGTGGCACGTGCCCGTGGTCCCAGCTACTTGAGGGTCTGAGGTGGGAGGATCACTTGAGCCTGGGAGGCAAAGGCTGCAGTGAGCTGTGATCAGCACCACTGCACTCTAAGCCTGGGTGACAAGAGTGAGACCCTGCCTCAAAAAAAAAATAAAATAGAGACATACGACAATGTAATAGGAGTATTTCCTCCAACAACAACTTATTAGTACTACCAAGTCTTCTTTCCTTCTTTCTACTTAACTGGGAAAATTTGGGGGTGGAGGTGCTTATAATTACTGAATATAATGAATATAATTAGTGATACTGATAGTATCAGATACTATCCAGTGACTTAAAGTACAAAACAATTTTCATTTCTTAAAAAGAAAATTCTGATTTTTTTTACATTTGGCAGGAATAAATTAATTCTGTGGCTTCTGAAGGAAGAAGTGCTTTTAAAGCTTAAGGGGGAGTGGGCTGCCTCTCCAACTCTGACTTATTCACCTGCTTTAACACCTAATTCCAAAGTCACACATAAGGGTTAGAGAATGAATATTGTTTTCAACTACGAGAAAGAAGGAGCATTGGCTTTGCTTCATCTATGGTTGTTCTAGTGATATAGCAAATACTCTGCAAATCCTGAATGAAGTCAGCTGATTTTTCCCATTAACAGAAAGAACTTATGGAAGCACAGAAAATATTAAGGCACAGGCTGCAGCACTACATACTACTTCCAATCCCATACCTCTGTCATACCCCAGTATCCCATCGCCTCAGTTCTGAGTCATGCGAGAGTCACTAAGAAACAAGAAATAAGCTCTCTGAGGGCAAAAGCAGCTGAGCCAAGTGTGGCTTCACCTCTATCTTGAAACGATACTCAGCACAGTGTCTCAAAAAAACAGTAGGCACTCAAAAAATGTTTCTGGAATGAACAGACTACATTTGATGACTTTCTCTAATGGAGACTTCAATTTCTGTTTAAAGCTAAGAGAGCACCTATTTAGAAAACTGATGGTCTACCCCCACCTCATTATATTTCTAGTATCTCTAGAAACCTATCCCATTCTTTAACTATTAACCGTGACTATTAACCATATTCCTTTCATTTATGAAATATTCAAATGCAAAAGCATTTGTTGGTAAAAACAAATGTGGGATTCTTATTTATTGACTTACAGAAAAATTACTCAAAAATCCCAGTTACTTACCAGCAACTTATTTTTCTTTGAAAATGTATCATCCTTGACAGTTTACATAATTAAGTCTCATGTCACTCAGAGTAGTGAAAAGAATTTTTACCTCATGGGTCTCCACATTTCAGCTGGTCAGAGCCATGTGTCCTGGACTCAGGAACTTACTAGGAGACCTTTATCAACAAATTAGATTCTCTAATTCCAGTTCCAACTTGAGGATCACACAAGGAAGTTAGAGATGATTCTTCATCAATGGTTTAAAAAAAAGGGGGCAGGGGCTAGATTCATTACCAAGGATGCTACATTTTCAGAGAAACACAGTTTACTGGTAAGTAATCAGGTTCCTCTGAGGATGGATAGACTTACATCAACCAGCTGGTACAATAGGCGACTGTGTGGCTGGACCACTGGGAGCTGGAGAGGGAAGTCAAGCCAAAAATAGTAGTTGTAGGAGTACACAACCAAACTGAGACTCTTGGCAGAAGGCTGGTTCCAAGTAAAAACTGTGTTATGGAAAATCGTAGAGGGAAGAGCAGGTGAATGGCCTGCAGGGAAGGGAAAGAAATTAACACACCCTACTATGTGCCAAGCACTGTGCTAGAGACTTTACCAAAGTTAGCTTCTTTAAATTTCACAACTACCCTGTGAGGTAGGTATGACTCCCCATTTTACAGCAGGACATCCCAAAGATAACAGTCATGGCCATCCTGCCTCTGAATAACCTTTAACATGATAAGGGCTAAGTCCAACTTTCATATAGGGGAAAATATACAATCAGTTAGCCAAGTAAAAAATATTCTCGGATACTGGTTGGTCCATTTATTTCATGCCAGAGACACAGTGAACTGTTGACATTGTCTAACATCCTGTAGCCTTTCCATGTGACAACAGCGAGGAAGGTGCAGGAAGGTCGGCACTCCAGGAGAGGAAGAGTCAGAAGAAAGCATCAGCTGCCACCAAGTCTAGAGAAAAGCTGGGGGTGATTTCTGAAACTACCCTATATTCTGCAGGATTTGAGGAAAGAAAAGATAATACACCCAAGTTTTAAATTAGCTAGCCCTTCTGGTGAAAATGACCATGTATATAATTTAAGTTCAGGCTACTTTTACGCAAAGGAAGCACTGAAGAAAAACTGCAATGAGATAAATAGCAAATTTGGATAAACAGAAGCTCAATAATGGAAGTGAATTCATAATCAGGTTGAGAAGGCAAAATAGGGGAAGGGTGACTGAAGAAGACACTTGAAAAGAAATGAGTGGCTCCTACAGGAGAGAGGCAGAAATAAAAATGAAAGAAAAAACCCTGTAAAGGTATCAACACAGATGTATTTAATGAAAGCAACTAATCGAGTGTTGGAGTTAAGGAATGAAAAAGAGTAATTCATATCAGATTGTAAATTATTTCAGTTTGTGTTGTTAAGTATTTGTTACAGACTGATTCCAGATTGGGTGAAGAACCTCTACCCTACAACATAAGGGTATTTGCTTCTCAGTTCACTTTTATCCTGTAAGTGATGGTTTCTACATTCCAAGGGGCAGGGGATGATAACGCAGCATTTAACATAGGATATTTGGAATACAATATCAGAAAGTTTAGACCCCTTTTATTTTTGAGACAGGGTCTAGCTCTGTTGCCAAGATTAGAGTG